AGTTACAGCACTGCAGCAATCTCCTCTGTAGCCATCAGCAGCTCCAGGTGATTAATCTCACCATGGTCTACTGATTTGCAAATACTGACAAGTTTCTTTCCCCGTTTTTCTCTAGATCTCAACACGTGCACTGCAGCAGAATCAAACGCACTGAAAAGCCTTTTAGGAGACGGTCACATTCTCTGATCCCGGCAGGGTAGCCTGATTTTCTCTTTCCTTCCCCACAGACATGAACACTTACAGGGCAGGCGCCACCTGGGCTCAGCTGCAGGACAGAGTCCCCCATCCGCTCGCTGGAGCCACCCAGTCACGATCTCTGCCTGCGCGGGACCCAGGCGCCGTTGGGGTCCACCCAAGCTGCACTGAGGCTTGGTCTCAGCGTAACTCTGGAGAGGGGTAAGCATATCATTCACCACAGACCTCCAGCTGCCTCTCTCACACTGGTGGGCACTAGTGCCACTCCCCAACAGCCGGTTTGATGACCTTTCCAATACCTATCTCCATGAGCTCACCACGCCTTCACATCATCAGTTACAACCGTTGCCATTATGCTTCACGGTGTGGAAATGAAATGCCACCTTTTCACAGAGCCAAGAAAATCTTACTGAATTTTTCTTCTAAAACCAACCTGACTGACTGGCACGTTTATCAACCTGCTCCCTACCCGCACCTTGCATGGGGCCTGCATCAAGCATTTGCATTAAATTCAAGGAGGAATCTGCCAGCAGCGCTTCAGGAACAAAATGGTGTGGCACATGAGGATACACAGCTATGTATAAGGCTGCGATCCTTTTAACGTGTTCTCCTCTCTTCCAGGGAATAAGATTGTTCTTGACAGCTGTTAATAAGAGCTGATCGAAGTAGCTGTGTTGCATCTGCACACATCCAGACAAAGACGGCACCCAGGCCTGCGGACTGTGGGAAACATGCCTTTCTGAAACCAAAGAAATACACAGCTCTTAAATTACTGGCAGTCACCCAGTTCATTTACTTTTAACACTCAATCTCCCCCACTGTTTACTTGCACTTTACTGCATTTCTTCTGAATTGCTAGGAAAAATGTTCATATACCACAGGAGATGACCAGTCCCATTCATCTGTCTAATAGTTTAGTTTTGGAGGGGTTTTCTAAATAATAAAAAAAGTAGTTGGGCTCAAGTTTCTGCCAAGTTTTATCCCAATGTGACTTGGTGCAAGCAACCCAGAAAACCCCTCACAGCACATGAAGAGCTGTCAGTCATGAGGTACTATGCAGGTTAGTTGGGTATGGGTTTGTAAAAAATACACTGCTTATTTTTTCTTTGAATATGCTGTAGTGGTATGGGGGCCTTGTGTTGGCTCTTAACAGATTACTTTTACCCTCTGGATTATTGAAAATCCACATTCCATAGAAGACAGAAATAAGTACTGAGATCCCACATTGTCCTTTGCAGCAGAATCACTGAGAAGCAGTAGTGGGCAAATCAAAAAATAGGTCATTCAGCTTCCCCCCATCAGCTCACTGCAGGGTATATTGTCAGTTTAATTTCTTCATTTAGTTCCTTCTGCTTCCCATAACACTGCTTTCAAATCACAACAGTATATGGGAGTAGGATGTGCCAGCTGGCTTTGCAAATTTTTGTACACACAAAACTCCTGCCTTCAAATGAGATTAACCTTCAAGCAAAATTAAGACACACACAGCACACAGCATAGTGGAGGAGAAGCACACAGCACCGAGGTGTGTTGAGGTGTGCTTCACTCCGGTATCTCATAGATTTGTATCAAAGTTTTCATTATGACAAAAGATTGGTTTTAAAAAAAATAAAAGTATGGAGAGGCATGTAGGTAAGCTTTTACCAGGGAAGGAAGGTCATACAGAAGTGGATTGTGTCCTGCCACTACTAGAGAATAAAAATGCATCTTGAGCTTCAGGGCAAAACACTGAAATCCCAGCGTGTTTGAAACATCAGCAGAGTTTCAGGAGTATGATGCCATATTCTCTGAGTACCTCTCCTGGTGAGGCTGAGCTTCCTTTTCTTTCTCAGAATTAGAATTTTAATCTGATGATTTTCTGCTTGGTAAATACAACCTATCTGATTTTTTTAAGGAAAGAGACAGTAACAAAACAAATCCTCATTCCCGAGCAGAAGGATTGCACACTTAGCTTCATGGTTTCTCTGGTATCTTCCAGTTCTTTCTCCCAGGGCAAATCTAGGCCAAGCTCTCACAAACTTTGCCTGTTGAACAGGGAAGAGCTCACTGATTCTTTATTGCCATCTAGCGACCAAAGCTGTTTCCACTGTCACACTAAACAATTACAAATCTGGGGAATTTTGAAACCAACGTGATGGTCGTGGTTTAACCCCAGCCCGCAGCTAAACCCCACCCAGCTGCTCGCTCACCCCCCCGGTGGGATGGGGAAGAGAATTGGAAGGGCAAAGGAAAACTCGTGGGTCGAAAGACAGTATAATAGGTAAAGCAAATGCCACGCACACAAGCAAAGCAAAAGGGATTCGTTCTCCTCTTCCGGTGGCAGGCAGGTGCTCAGCCATCCCTGGGACAGCCAGGTTCCATCACAGGTAATGGTGACTTGGGAAGACAAACGCCATCGCTCCAAACATCCCCCATTCCTTCTTCCCCAGCTCCGTGTGCTGAGCTGGACGCTGTATGGCGTGGGACATCCCTGGGGGCAGGGGGTTGGCCATGCCTCCTCCTCACTCCCTGTGCCCCCAGCCGGCCGCTGGCGGGGCGAGAGGCAGAACAGCCCTTGGTGTTGCGCAAGTGCTACCCGGCTGTAACTAACACTGCCCTGTGGTACCAACGCTGCTTTCAGCACAAATCCGAAACACAGACCCATAGTAGCTACTGTGAAGAAAATTAACTCTGTCGAGCCAAAACCGTCATGGAGAGCAGAAGAGAAAGGAGGCTTGCTTCTGCCCCTCGCTGTGCCCACCCACCCGTACCGCTTACGGACGCGCAGGCCTAGGTCCGCGGCAAGCGCAGGCCTCTGCTGCTTCCGCACCATCCTCAGTCTCTGCAGATGAACAGCTCATTCGCCCTCCCTCTAGGGCTCAGCAGGTTGGAAACAGGTCGTTCTGCAAAAACAAATGGCCTTGCTTTGTCCCCGAGGAGCTCACAGTGCTTGGGGACAGTCATCTTGCTGGAGCAGGCGAGTGCAGCACAGCCAAGGACCACGGTAACACCTGCTGTAGCTCCAACAGCCACTTCCTCACCCGAGGAGAAGGAAGGAGTCAGATTGTTTTCAGGATCCTTCAGAGAGGTATTTTAATTTGGCTGGTATGCCTGGGGGACTCTCCTTGCTGAGCCAATCTCTTGTCAGCTGCTCCTAGAGCAGGGTGTGCTGCGGGAGGGCTTGGAGCACTCCAGCCCTCGGACACTTGGCCAGTGGATCTCACTGTCCAGATGCTGTTGTCTTTAACCAGGCTGGGAGCTCGCTGTTACTAATTACTGAACAGTAACAGGACCACGGGCTGTGCAGCTGGGAGTGGATGGATGCGCCAGTGAGGACAGCCCCTGGTTCTTCCCCCCCCCCCGAGCCCCAGACTCTGGCCCTGAGGCAGTTTCAGCTCACCCCAGGACACCGCAGCGTGTGTTTCCCCAGTGAGCCCCTCAGAGGAGCAGAAATACCACTTCTGTGAGAAGGTAGGCCTTGTCCCCAGCACACCCCCACTGAAAAAAACATGTTTTTTTAAGGATAAATCTGTGTTGTGCTCTAAGATAAGTTTTGTGACACCTTTCAGACACAGCCGCTTTGGTCCCCGCCCCGTGGTACGAGGTGTGCCTGGGGCTGCCCCGTGCCGTCAGGCTGAGCACGGGGTTAAGAGTGGAGCTGCCCGTGATAGCAGGGACAGTGCAAGCACTGTCCCTTCCCCTGCCTGTGCCTGCTGGTTTCTTGTCCTGTCTGTGAACTGGGCTGTTTCCAGGTGAAAAGCATCTTCCTCTGCAGCTGGGCAGCAAAGCTTTCAAAGTTTCCTTTCAAATGGAATGAAAATGTTTTCCCGTCTTTCTCTGCATAAAGACTTGGATTGTGGAGCCTGCCCAGTTTGTCTCCAAACTTGTTTTTACACACTGACTGTGGACACTCTTCAGGCTGTGTTATGTTTACCAGCCCTCTTCAAACAGACCTCAAAGAACAACAAAGAGCGAGCTCCTGAAGAGGCCTGGGAAGTCCAGCTTTGCTGGAACCTGCACAGACCCCAAAAATGATTGAGAGAGCTTATGCCTGTGGACATTCAAGTCCATTGCTGTGATGTGTATCAAAGAATAATAAGAATATTAAATTATGTGAAAGTCTAATGAGTGCAGAAGAGGATAAATTGGGCAGTGATGCAGCTTTAACGCATGTGCTTTCACAGCCCTTTCCTCTGCCCCCAAATACAGAAAATTCTGTTTCAGAGGACCACATTCAATGTTAGACCTGCTTACCAGAGATCAGAACAGTTTTTTTAAAGCTTAAAATAATCCTCAGTGAGAGCATTGTCCTAGACTATGTTTGCAAATCCCTCCCTAAACATGCTCAGAGCACTCCTGCACTTCGCCAGACGTCAGGGACAGGAGGGGTGAAGCTCTGTGCTCCCGCCCACCGAGCAGTGGCATCGGGTCCAGGGTAAAGAGGCCTGAACGCCTGTCGGAAAGGCAGCTGGTCCCTACGGTCACTGCTGGAGGTGAAGGGAGCCCCAGCAGTTACCAGCGCTTGCCAGGCTGCAGAACCAGCTGCTGCCACGAGCCCAGTGGCTCCAAGCCTGGCAGCCCCTCTTCTGGGAAGGCCCACGGGTGCACTTCAGCTCAGTCCTGCCCGTACAGACGTGACTGAGATACGTCCTGAAGAACGCTAAAGGTCTCAGTAAGGGCAAGGGAGATGGGTGGAAAAAGTAGATTCCTAGGGTGAGGTTACACAGAAATATTTGAGTGACAACAGCTGTTGAGCCCCCATCATTTTTGCAGTTTTCAGGTGAAACCTTTTAAATACCTTTTAATAAAATCTGAATCACTCTTTGTTCTCAATCCAGAGCAGCAAGTTACTTTAATGTGTCAATCAAGCAATCATGCTTTCAGCATATTTTGCTAAAGCTGAGCTGAAGCTTCAATCTGAAGATGTGCCTCTATTTCCAGGTTAAATCAAGAGCGCTGTCAAAAGAGTCTTCTGTAAAATAAACAAAGCCCGGTTAGCAGTGTTTCTGAAGTTTCAGTTTTACAGCTTTCCTGTGTCATCACTCAGCTGAACAATATTAAAAAACCACAGTGCAAATCAAATAATCTGTGTAATTACCATGTACTTACTTTTATTTCAAGGCTAGAGTCCTGTAATTCAAAACTAGACAAACCCCTTCCTTCTCACTTTCATGCTTTTTCTCTTTGATTTACCAGGGGAGGAAGGTTTTGCAGAGAGAAGTAATACCTCATTTACTGAACCAAGCAGAACAACTGCTTTCAGTTTCACTTAATTAATTGGCTGAAATGATCCTGCTTAGGAATTGAAAAGCAGAGCAGGATGTTAGCAAGGAGAGACCTGTTCAGATTCACAGCCTGTCTGGGACAGTGTGAGGAGAGACTTACTTACTGCTTGTGGATCAGTGCAGTTCAGCTGGAGGTATTGTCTGGCATAATTATAGCAGTGCTTCTACTGAAAATGCAATTTTTACTATAGAGAAAAAGTGATTTTACTTCCTGTTTTCTGAAAGTATTCTTTAGTCTGCGTCTGGTGCTGGAGCAGGCAACCTGGGCAGAACATCTGTGGAATGTTTAGAGCCGGTCCCCGCTTGCAGCAGGAGGGCACCGCCTGCCGACAGCAGCCTGGCCCGAGGGCACGCTCTTAGTCCGGCCCAGGCAGCGCTCTCTTAACGCAGCCTCGCGGACCTGCTGTGTGGTCGAATCTAAAGAGCTGTGAGATATTCTGAATATTAGCTTTCCCAGATGCATTTCCTCCGTGAAATAGCCCGTTGTTCCTATTAACCCAGTGTAGAATGCCCTGAATGGTGAATTCTAAATTTCTGAAATTCTGCAGTACCTTTTTCTCCATGGCTTGATTTTTGTTTCATCCTAGCGTTTTTTAAAGATGTCAGACGCAGGCATTTGATCTAGAAAAATAAGTAACAGTCATATCAGAGGAGAATTTAACATCATATTCAGTGTGCAATTGTATTCAGTAGGGAGGCAGCCGGGCCCCTTTATTGGATGGAGGTTATCTAGAGCTCCATCTCTGATGCAGCTGAGATACAATCATACTGTTTGCTTAGCAGGAACAGTTTCAGCCTTCAATAGGTAAGGACAGTTGCTGAAGGCTTTCCACGATTTGATCTTAAACTTATTGGCTTGAATCATGATTATTATTTTCCTACAACTCAAGAAAACTATAGGCAATGGATCTTGTTTGTGTAGATGTGAGCATAAACAGTCAATGGAATTAACAGATTCCGTGCGTTCCAGAGAGCGTGGCCATGGCTGACGTGTCAGGGAACTGTGGAACCCCCAAAGGGGCACTGGGACAGCGCAGGGCAAGCAGTGACTCTGCAGAGACAGCCCTTCATGTGCAGGAGGTCGTGTCTGGTGTGTGACTCCTCACCTCGTGTTTCCAAAGGGTTGGCAGCGGCAGGAGAATGTTGCAATGGGCACAGGTTGCCAGCATGTCAAACGACTGGGCGTCTGTCAGAGCTTGAGGTGAGGTGGAAAGTCCCCCGCTTGCAGGAGAGGGAGAGCCAACCTTTTTGTTCTTTGGGGGTTTAAGCGAGGTTTTGGAGGTCAGTCGCTGACCCCCTTCTTTGCCTTTGGGACGGACAACTTTCCACGCCATCGCATTCTCAGAGTGGGAAGAGGGGGCCAGGGAGGAAGAAGGCTGTGGTGCGTCACTGCTGAGTTCTGAAGTTGACTGGCCAGCAAGAACTTCTGTCAGCTTGTGGGCCACACCACATTCACTCTGTTAAAAGAGAGCACGTGTAACAGGGAGAAGAGTGGCATTACAGTGGTGAGGTATGTTCTGCCCGGCTACTCACCATGGTGCCTCACATGAATACACTCTATCATGAAACTGTAGTTTGAAGGGCCAGGACACACTGCCCTTCCTTACCTAATGTATAGTTTTTCAGAGAAATAACCTGGCTGGAAGTTAAGCACAGACCATGCTCTTGTTCAGTTTCAAATGTGCTTACCAGGTGCTGGGAGTACTGGTCATCTGGAAATGACTTATTGCACTTCTGACAAAGACTGCCACCAGTACCTTCAGGAGGAGAAATATGGAGAGAAACACAGTACTAACATGGGTCATGTAGACAGGCTGCTCAGATCCACTTACGGTCCCTGGTTCTAGAGACACAAAATGCTGATTCTACTGGTCAAGAAGGAATTAGAGCTGTCACAACATTTTGCTTTTGGCACCACTCAAAACCAACCCACTGTCCGTTCTCGCAAGCTTCGGGATATTTGGAATTCCACTCCAGCCCCATGTTTTGTGGCTTAAGATGCTTCACGCCTACCCTGGCCCAGCTAATTCTGTTGCTAGGGGTTTTGCTCTAGTTTATTTTGCCAACCACTGCACCTACTGCTGCCTGTTCTTTTCTGAAACCGTTGACAGGATTCATGAATTTTTTTGTCTTGATGTACTCTGTCCAATACCTTAGGCCTTATAAAGCTGTTCTCAACTCCAAGATACCACAGTATGCATCACTGGCTTTATATATAAGTAGGAGGAAATTCTAAATCACATTTTCTCCTGCATGACAAATAGAAAGAGGAAGGAATTTTGCTTTCAAGATATAAGGGAGGCATAAAGAATGTGACCAATGAGCTACCAACCAGTGGAACCACTCTGGCTTTCCAATAACCAGCATAATAGAAAGCAACATTTGGCCTTTTCACCGTGCTTGGTTAAACTACAATCCCCTCCAGCCTGGATAGCTGAGAACTGTAGAGAAGGCAGGGGAATTTTCACTGAGATTTAACAGAACTGACCCAGTCTGTGACAATGAGGAATTTTGCTTACCAGTGGGGGAACTAAATGTCTTGGTGGATGCTTCACTGGTTTGAAAGTTCACATCCTTATTATAGGGCAGACTGCTGTTCTGACAAATCTCCTTGTGTTTGTTCCAGTCTTTGTACATGATGTATTTGTTACACGCCCAACACTTCTCTGTTCGGCTGGCGCAGGTGTTCAGGTGTTCCTGCAGCTTGTTGAAGGGCATTTCAAGCTCACAGATCTCGCATTTTATCACTCGTTGTTGGCATTCCTTGGTCTGCACGTGAATAGAGGAGATTATTGCAAATTTTCTATCAATACTAAAAGAGAGCACTGGGTGAGAGCAGTGATTGACTATTTAAGAATGCCCTCCTTGAGGGGTACCTACACAACCCCAGGCAGGCTTAGCTGTATTAGGAGTTTGCCTATCTAGGTTGTCTTTAATTTAGGATGTTTTAGGCAATAAAGGGCAAAATGGGAATCAATTGCAGTGAAAATGTTCTGTGTCAGTACAGGTTAGTGACAGAGCACAAGCCCACCTAGAAAATTCCCAACTGCAGCTACCACCACTGAGGAAGCCCACCGTGTCTGCACTGCTCTGGGCCCCTGGACTGGCGAGCCCATGGCTAGCACGGACAGGCTGCTCGCACTGCCCCGCTCGTCCGTCTGTCTGTCTCCCCCTTAGCTGTTCCCTTGACTTCACTTTGTACAGCCACCCCTTTGGAAAAGCAGGTAACGTGAGTGTGGGGGCAGGAGGGAAATGTCTTTGAAAAGCTCTCAGAGAACAGCAGCTTGAGGTGCCAAGGCTGAGAAAGTCATAGATTATCTCCTGGAGCAGACAGTCCCATCACAACTAGAGGGGCAGCCACCATGGGATATACTTACTTACAAGGGGGAAAAGGTACATCAAAACACTGCAGCTGGTGAGAGGTTTAAGTCTCATTTACAAGTTTTTGCTGTTGAGCCCCTCAGCGTGACTCCTGGTGTCTGGTCAGAGGGTCAGCCTAGAAGGTGAAGAGAACTGCCCACCACACGTACCTCGTGATGCTCCAGCTGCTGCTGCTGCATGCTCTGGTGACAGAGCTTACACCTGGCCTGTGAGCGAAACATACAGCGGGTCACTGGGGGCATGGGAGGGTGGCTAGTGCTTTCACATGTCAGCACAGCTTCAGGCTGCTGGGGTGATCCTCCTGGTGTTTTCATCCCAATCACTGGCAAGTTGTTGGTGACTTACTGTTTCTGTGTAAGGCCTGAGCTGTGTTGATGAGATTTTGAGGAAAACAGATACCTGATTCTGCAGGAAGCTGTCATTCTGTGCGAGGACACAGCTCTCAAAGGTGTCCATGTGAAATGCAAAGGTTGTCGGGTTAAACCGCGACAGATGTGAAATAAAGAATGTGTATTCAAAATTTTGACTGAGGTTTAACTTAAAAGTAAAGGTCTGATATTGTCAGTCTAAATTATAACAGCCCCTCTGAAAACACAGCCAGTATGCTGTTTTCTACAGGTTTGCCATGAAAGCTACTCCTGTTCTGTTAAGTAACTGACATCAGTGGAATTGCTAAAACAATAAAACTAGTAGGCCAGACTACAAAGCCATGCCTGAGTATTCGTGTGTCACCATAGTACCTCTAGCTACAGGGTTCCTAATGCTTTACTAAAAATGCTATTGCCTTGCTATAGGAAGAGCTGATGAATTTACTCCACCAGTTCAGTTCTGTTAAAAAAGTGCACTGATGTCATAGCTTTGTACAGGTGAGGTTTATGTCAGATCAGGCACGGTCTGTCTTCCTCTAACCAAACCATTTAACTTGCAGGCTCTGGCTAACTCACAAGCACTGGGAGCATTTTCTCCATACCTGATCTGTAATTTGTACTGCTGAGGAACCACAGTGGAAGCTCTATTCTCTTAAGCTGAGTGTGTGATAAGATCAAAAGGTGCTGTAACCAGGCCTGAAGGGTCACGTCAGACCCTTAGAGATTTCCTGGTGAAACAATTACGGAAGTTCAGATCTAGTTACTATAGGGCACAGAGCCATGAACATACTACTTCAGGGCTGGCAGAGCTTTTTGCAGTTTGCAAGAAAACCCTGAAGAACATGTAGCATTCCTCACCTGCTTGTGTGCTTCCATTTGATGGTCTTTGATATCCTTTTGGGCAACTGGTTCATCACATTCTGAACAGAGAGTGAGAAACCGCAAGCAGTGGGCCTCGTGGAGAGAGAAGTTGGCAGCAGACACATCTCGTTTACTACCGAGCACACAGACGAGAAAGAGAGGAGAGTAAATGAGCTGGTGTGGTGGGCTGACCCTGGCCCAGCAGCCAAGCACCCACAGAGCTGCTCATTCACCACCATCCCACCACACAGAATGGAAGTGAGAAAATTTGTAAGGAGTGGTGAAGACAGTTTAATACTTGAAGGAAGGGGAGGGGACAAGTGAAGGCAATGACATCATTCACCACCTCCCACAGGCATACCTATGCCCAGCCTGTCTTTGAACAACAGCCACCTTGGGAGTGAAAAAAGCGACCTCAACCCTCCTCTTCTTCTAACGCAGTTTTATTCCTGAGCATAAGGTTATACAGCATGGAATATCTTTGGTCAGTTGGGGTCAGCTGCCCCAGCTGTGTCCCTTCACAAACTCCTGCTCATCTCCAGCTTACTCGCTGCGGCAGCAGAGTAGGGAAAAAGAGAAAACCTTGATGATGTGCAAGCATTGTTCAGCAAAAGCCAAACATTGGTGTGTTATCAGCACTGGTTTAGACACAGATCCAAAACACAGCACCATAGGGGCTGCTGCAAAGAGAATTAACTCCATCCCAGCCAGACCCAGTACAACTGGTTACAATTCAACTGGTTTGTCCCTAAAAACTAGAAATAAGTATTTGGCTTTCCAGTTCATCTTAATGAGACATTTAGAGACTGGATTCCATTACTCGTTCTGTTCTGCCGATTTACCAGGAATGCTTCTGAAAGGGACAGGGCAGTTACTGGAGATCTCTGCTGTATTTGTCCAACAACTGCTTCAGGAAGAGCTCTGGCTCTTGTTTACAGATGTGGAAAGAAAAGCAGGGCCCCTCCCCTGGGTATCATCTGAGGCATCACAAGACTGACAGCTCTTTGGCTCCCTGTGGACACATTTAAGGCAGCCCAGCAGCTGCTCTGTTCAGGTGAAGGCTGCCTCTGAGCTGGTACACAGATGCTCAGTGGGCTCAGGAAGAGCCACTTCAGTTTGCCTGGGAAAACACTTATTTGATTTTAATAACTGATGTGTTCACAACATTAGTGACAAGAATTGAGTTCAACAAAGCTTGGGTAAGACCTCCTGAAGCAGATTCAGTTGCAAACCTTAGGCAGTGTAAAACTCCTGTTGCTCCCCTTGACACAGCCTGGGATGACTGAGTGGGCACCAGCTTATTTGCTGGCTTCTGCCAGCAGGGCCTGGGCCCTGGTCCCCCAGGGCCCGTCTCAGGATGCCTGCCTCACTGCCCCCCACGTCCTCCAGAGACACCAGTGGAGAGGTGGGGTGCACCCCTGTCACCTGTACCGTGGGGGGCCCAGGGCCCTGGGGCAGGTGGTACTGATGCCTGACACAGAAGAGTGATGGTTCTTGGGACACGGCAGCTGGAGGCAAGCCCAGGCCACCTCGCTGGCCTGCGAGAGCAGGAGGGCTCCTGAAAGGACACCAACGCTGCCAGCTCTGCTGCTGCCACCTGTGAGGCAGAATACCTGATGCCATTTGGACTTTCTGCACTAGTCTTTGTTCCAAACCCTGCCATTGTGTCTGGGCCACAGAACCAGTCTGCCCAATTGTTGGGGGAGGCAGCAGGTCTGCCGAGTGCCTGACTGACAGAGAACAGTGTGACCTTGACCAGCTTGTTGTGTACCCCTGAGCAGCTGGAAAAGTCCCAGAGGAGCGCTGTGTCAGCCTGAGAAAGGAACTGAAGATAAGGAGAAAGAAGAAAAATACTGTGTTTGTCAGACACCCGAACAGTGGGGGATTTTAAGAAAAGTAGCCAATAAAGTAATAGACAAACAGCCATGTAACCAATGAGAATGATGTATGGATGAAAGGATCAAGTATATAAGATATGAGAGGAGCAATAAAGATGGCTATTCTGCTGCAAAAACATCGTCGTGTCCGTGACACCCAACATATCTGCTGGTGACTTAAATGTGGAGGGAATGGCCAGGATGAGGCTACATTAATTACAAACAGCCCAGCCCCAAGACAGAGCAGCCACAGCAGAAAAGCCCTGGGGCAGTGAGCTCTTCTGTCTCAGAGAATGTAAACTGCCTCAAGAAAATCTGCTTTAGATGTGAGGAGAAGCTTCCTCATGATCATGATAGATAAACAGGGGAATGGATTTCCTGTGGAAATGTGTGATCTCAGTCGCCAGTTTTTAAAAATTTGTTAGAGGCATATCAGAAGTTTTAGGCAAAATAGCTCTGCCAAGGAGCCTGATCAGTGTGCAGCAACTGCTTTACTCAAAGCACCCCCTACAACCTTTTAGAACATAATGCACAGGCTCTCTTTGTGCAAGCCTAAGCATTGGTTTTCCTTTGTGACCAAATAAAAGCGAGGCTAAGCTCATGTTTAACCTTTCTAGGTTTGACTTTTTTTTTTTTTTTTAAATTGTAGTGCCTCACTGTCTTTGTTCATGTAATTTGCCCAATGGCCTACCTACTAGTTGAGACACACCAAGCTATGCTCTCCTCACGGCCCCTTCCAGTCTTCTGTTCTATGAGAGATGTCCAATTACCCTGAAAAAATAGTATTTCATCACTGAACTTCAAATATAGCAACAGAAAGAAACATCAGCCACAGGGGGGAACTGAGGCAGCTGCTGGGTTTGGCATGGTCCGTGAATGGACAACTCTGCCAGACACTGCAAAATTGCCCAAAGTGGTATTAAGTAAAAAGAGAACAAGCAGCATGGGAGAGGGCTATGGAAGAAACCTCTCCACAGCAAGGTAGCAAGAAAGCTACTGTGTGAGATGTGAAAATGCATACAAAATACTTTCGTTTACTACTCAGTGGCTAGTGTACACCCCTCCTGCAGTGCAGTTCTTCCTCTTCTCCCCGTTACAGGAAATCTAAATAACATTAAGGAAAATCCTAGAACACTCTTGAAATCCCCACACTTTGTAGAGGTTGAGAGGGAGAAAGATCTCTTACCAGTTTTTGCAGAACTTGCTCTCTTCTGTCATTATTTTTCTTTTTGTTCTGCTGGATATCCTTTCTTCTAAGAGCAGAGAGGAAAAAAAAACGAAACTGAAAGCCTCTGTTGCAGTAACTCCACCCTAAACAGCTGCCTAGCCAACAATTCTTTAAAGGAGAAACAGCCCCATTGCCAGGCAAGTATTGGTGCGAGTTCCACGCACAGATCAGTTTGCTCGTCCTTAGAGGAGCTATGCCGGTTTCCGTGTTCCCAGCTCAGTTTAATTTGCAGTCGCCGCCCGAGGCGCTGTGGAGGAGGTGTCCTCTGCCCCGGCAGCAGGGCTGCCTGGCCCGCCCGGCCTCGGCCCCCAGGGCC